TAAAGTCCAGTTCGCAAGAACCTCTTTTTGTTAGAAATTCCAGGTCAAAATACTTTTCAACTAAGTTAAGAAACTATATTTCTTAAAAATAGGTTTAATCACTCTAACGCAATGCGCGCATTTTTATAAGTGACAATAAGAGGGATTGATTAGGGGATAAACTCGGTTCTGAATACGCGAAAGCGACAGTTCCCGTTAAATTAGTTATTTTCATGAGTAGAAAACGTTACCCCTCAAGAAGTCTATTTATACGCATTTGGAATACTGCCTAGCTATGTGAATTACATCCAAACATGTTGTTTTAATATTGGATTTATTTTCGCACTTTACTTTTATTTCGCACAACCCAATTCCTAATTAACTTACCTTAGATAAATACCGTAACAACAGTAATCGATAGATTGACGTTTGGTCTCCGTGGGATCGATAATCTTTTATATTACTCTGACGTTATTCGTGCACTTGCGAATCACAACATCAGTCGTAAAAAAAAACGATAAAATCCTTATTTTTCTTGAAATCATTTACTAACTGTTTTTGTCCAATATTTTGCAGGTACAAAAGATGATGAAGATGAGGAGAGACTTGAAGATCCTTGAACTTTTTAGAACAATCTTTAAGAAATAGTCCTAGGAATTTCTTGATGTAACCAAAAATAGTAACTCTTGCAATCCTTGTATCTTGTAATAACAATGTAAACCAAGTTGATTATAATAAAGATTTGTCTTGCAATCCAAAAAAAACATCTCGATTATGAGCTTAATATCAAATGCCTTAAAGTTGAACCAAAAGAACTCAAACGCTTGCAACCAAAAGTCCTCTTCTTGTCTTAAGAAATTTCAAAAAAAATGAAACCGTCTGGCCAAAGCTTGAAGTCAAACCCAACATGCCTAACACACCATATTTCCACTGTGATCTTGTTTTACGAATTAAAACGGCTTGAAAATGGTAACTGGAACACTTCAAATAAATAGAACCCAACCCTTTGGCGCAAGGACCAAAAAATAACACTCCAACATCCTGGAAGATCACAAAATTCAAAGTATAATCACTTCTGCTCCTCTTTTAGAAATAGTGCTCTGTGACCTTAAATCATTTTGATAATGACAACGCGCCATTTAAAAATGATCCAGAGCTAGCCTGAGATGCTTAGATTCGAGAGAAACAGTATTGTCAACTTGCCATACCTGCACAAACTTGTTAGTCGCAATAAATATGTATACGAAAGTCTAAAGCCAAATAACACAAGAAACGCAAAAAGAGGTGGGATCTTAAAGTCAAAAATTAGGGTGTGACAAAACACTAAAGCAACAAAAACAACATCAACTTCAACAAAAAAAATAACTATCATTCCCGATATTACACGACCAGAGAAATGAATCACTAATGTATTATAAAGCGAAAAAATAAAAGTGAAAAGTAGCTCCAACAAGCCATCTTCCAACACACAACAACAAGGATCACTCTTGAGTATTGTAAGATGTCCATGGTGGATAACATGAAGCAAAGGGGTGAGAAACAAAATTCAATATAAACAGTGTAAGGAATGTTAAGGTAAAGAATATACAATAAGCACACATTCATTACATAATCAACAACACAGTCTTACTCCTATTCATAACATCATACACATATTCACAACCATTCGACAACATATGTAGGCACATGTACATTGTACTCCACAACTGACTCATTATGCATGCAGTATCATTTATGAACACTCAGGTTCATCTCGCTCCTGAATCCCCACCATAGGACTAGAACACACCAAATCGTTACCATCACCATAGATAACGCTCAACCGATTCCAATTTAAAACCAGCTACTCGTTCTTGAATCCTCATCATAGGACTAGAGCACACCAAAACTGAACAGAAGTTCGTACACAATGATGCATTACTCTCAACAAACATATATTATCATCAAAGGTTCACCAAAATAATCATCATGCATATTTCACCATTTATGCACAACATCATTAACCGTAGATAACAATTAATCAATCTTATGACATTCAACAAACAACACCAAACAAAAGAAATTTAACAAATGTGTATTCGTGAGCATTCAATCATGTTAATTCATTATAACATCAACAAAATCATTAGGCAAACACAATGAATCACTAATCGATCATACATGTCACCACATACATCCCTACCGTAGAAAAATGACTACAACTCAAATATTTCACCAAGCACTATTATGAGGTCGCTCTACGCGTTAGCTTTCTAACACTTCAAAGCGTGTCTTCATTGGAGCCACATAGCTCAAGTTACAACTAAAATGACAAGTGAACCAATCAATTGACACAAGGACCAATTGATTGACACAGGGACCAATTGATTGACACATGGGGGCAATCGATTGTCCCCAACTCACTGCCAGTGTTTTTCACAAAATTTTGAAGGGACCAATTGATTGTTCTAAAGTTTCCGCCAATTTTTGTGTGTTTTCAAAAGGAACCAATTGATTGCTCCCTAGGATTAATGGACTGGTCTAAGCATTTTTCCCCAGAAACTCAGTTTTCAAGTTTCAATAGTTTTATTATTTCTAAACCTCACCCAAACATGCCCTAACACACCTAAACAACTTATTTTGATAATCTAACATTTATACATCGATTATCTGTCATTACCACATATATACATCAATTAACATGCAATTTATCATACAGCTTAATCATCATCTTCACCAACATTTACACTCACGTTCAAAGCTTCATACATTCATCAATGGTAGAAAAATACAGATACATAATCATGATATTTCAAACATAGATTCAGTCACATAAACGCATGTAGACACATAATTAACCAACAAATTCCAGATTGTTATCACATAACAATTTATCAAAACAAATCATGGAATCAGAGTGAGAGTAATGATCTCTCTTCTCTACTCCATCATGCATTACACACATATTGACAATCCTTTCTCCCCTTTACCTTAGATTCTCAGCAATAATTAGCGACTCATATGGATTCTCCCTCTAAAATTCTGTTTCTCCCTCCCAAAAGATCTTGTTTCATTAGCCTCTTTATTTTCACGTACTATAAAAACTCTCACAAGAACTAGCTTGTCTCAATTTTTAGAATATATAGTAATCACATTAGCCCATCAATTTTTCATCTTCCATCCTCTCACCTCATACTTTCCTCAGTGCACACAAATGACCAATTTCTTATTTTTAATAATTTTCTCATTTAACTTATAATAATAATTAAAATTCTAATTACTCTAATTATCTTTTAATTTATTTTACCAAGCCACTACATTCTCACAACATCCTACCATTGCCTCTACACCCCAATAAATTTTTTAGTAATTCAATTAAATAATCTAATCGAATTTTTTGGGTGCTACAAATCTCGTCCATTGAACCTCATGTTTGGGGGTTTGTGTACATCCCAAAATATTACAATAGTCGGATTTGAAGTCTTAACCCATGTGTAGTGGTCAGATTGTCCAAATAATTTCCCCTATAAACTTTCCCAAAATATTACAATAGTCGGATTTAAAGTCTTAGCCCATGTGTAGTAGTCAGATTGTCCAAATAATTTTTCCTATAAACTTTCGCTCCATTGAGCCTCGTGCTTTGAAGACTATGTACATCCCGAAAAATTGTGATGGTTGGATTGCCCGGATGACATTTTCCTTAAACATATAGCTCCACTGAACTCATCCTTTGGGAGCTATGTACGTCCTGAAAAATTAGTATGGCCAGAATATGGCCATGACCAAAAATTAAATAGCCCAAATAAGGAGATTTGGCAAGCCAAAGGTCGCCCTAGGTGAGTTCTTAGCAGACAAACCTTTATGAATCATTATATGACATCCACACACAGACACACCCAAATATGTCCATAAATGCAGTAATTGTTGTTTATGGAACAAATAATAACATTATGGTGAGGAATGACAATTAAAGCTTTTGTCTAGGACCCCGTTCGCCAAGAAACAAGCATAAAAAGGGACCCAACGGTGAAAGAAGACAAACTCAATTCATAAAGATAAGTTACCCGTTGTGTGACTTTTTTTATACACACATTAGAGGAATTATCCAGTAGTGTTGTTGCGTGAACAATTAGTATCAGTAATTTTTTCAGCAATGAATATTCAAGTATACATTCTCCAAATGCTGACCCATAATACTCCTAATTAGTCTTCCCAATTACACGTTGAGATACCAAGTTTAAGTACATAAAACTTAATTCATTACTACCTCTGGCAATTCGTTGGTTTATCAATTGCACATACTCATGTTTACGCCAAGAAATTAAGAATTTTGAAGTGCAAATTTCCATAGGGATTCTATTCTATTGCAAAATTCGTGAATGCTGGCCTAGAGGGCCACAGCCTTAAAGCTACCTAATTAGGCCCCATTAGTGTTCCATTCCTGTGAAACATCAGTTATCTTTTCTTAAAGCCACAAAATTAATGATATTCGCATGGGTTGCTCAGGCAAATCTTGTTGGTACAACAAGAAATACGGATCAATGAGGTGCTTGAGTTCATGAGACCAATTAATACAGATTGGTGTTGTTGTGGTAGCTCAGATACTCATCAATCAACCCCCAACTGCACCAAAAATTGTGCATTTATAGTGTTTGCCAAATGAAAAATACTATAATTTTGAGGTAAACTCAAATGTTTACCAAAAAGAAGTATGCATATTATAAGCACAATCAAAACAAAAAGCTTCATTGCTAACTTGAGATAATTAACAAACAACCACGGTATGACAATCTTACTCAATTCTTGTCAAATTGAAGAAAAAAACATTACAAATAACTTCTTGTTTTTCATCCTTCAATGAAAAAAAGCCACATATTTTGTGAACGCTTCAAATTCTGTGATATTCCTATATGTATCCAGCCAACAAGAAAGCCTCTTCCTTCTTGGTTTTCTCAAGATGAGAGACACATTAGCTTCTCCTGTATATATCTACCTACAAAATAAGATACTTAGATCTGTATATATATACCAGTAGTCACCAATTAAGGATTAGCAGCAAAATATGCTAAAACCCCAACAAATGGTGCATTGATATATGTGGTTGGCTCAGATTTTCTATAATCAGCCCTGTCATCCCCATAAACATCATCTTCTCCAGGTCCTCCCACAATGGCTCCTACATGAACATTTGGATTAGGATTTGTTGAGTTGAAGTAAATTGTCCCTTCGTGGCATTCAATCTTTTGAGGATGATCATTAACAGAAGGTAAAGACGATCCACGGTGATGAATACGTTGCGGATAGTTGTTACCATAACCAACCATGTAAGATAAACCCAATGGATTATCACCTAAAATGTAATCAACTTGTCTCTTAGCACGTTCGCGAAGTGATTGCGCACTAACTTGAACATTCCCACAATTTATGGTCTGCGACGTGCGGGACAAGTAATTTGCATAGACTAATTCAAGGAAAGCAATTGAAGTTGCATGTTGTAAGTTGCTTCCACCTGGTCTGTATATGAGTCCACCAGGAGTGTACTCAATATGCAAACTCGATGTTTCGGGTATCAGTGTGCAGAGGAAACTCTCTGCTGAAGTCTTGTAAGATTCAAGAGATTCTACATTTCCATCTAGTACTTCCTATAACAATTTATTTACTATTAATAATCAACATATATTAAAAATATGTCACACATTTAATTCATTGAAATGGAATAGATGTGACCTTGGAGACAAGAACATTGAGGCCAGCATGCTTATTTTCCCAACCGAACTCATTTATGTTGTCTTCAGCACCAAGCGTTTTACCATTGCTTTGAATGTAGTTTAGGAAATTTTCACCTTGTGTAGCTCTTCTTAACCATGCAGCTCCCCATAACAATTCGTCCTGGAGTACAATGTATCAAAACCAATTAATAGAATAACAATTGACATGTCAAAATCTAGCTTCACAAATTTCATTCTTATTTAATTTGATGGTGATTGAAGCATAATCACATGTCAGTTTTCAAACAGTGCAAAAAACTCTCAAGATGAATTTAGTCCAAGACTTTCATTACGTGTCATCATCATCTTATATTCTATACTCCAATATGACAAAACACAAAATCAGATTAAAGAGCAAAATTCCAAACCCACCGCTTATTTCCTCACATTCTCACATAACTTGTTTTATTTCTCATTTATTTCTACTTTATTTCCCATCCCTGTTGTAATAATTTCAAATATATTAATAGAAATTGAGTGTAAAAGAACAAACTAACATGGTAGAGCAATAATAGTATAATTCATTTTCGCAACTATAGTTGGTTTCAGTTTTTAATTATCTTAGGTAATAAAAATTCCATCAAAACATATAAATTTGTGTATCAAATATAATTAAAGTCATGTTAAGCTTCTATATATATAACTCTTTAGCACCAACATCTGCATGGACACATACACGCCCACGCCACTTTTGATTATCTTATGTATAATATAATTATGTTTAATTTATTTATGTTTTTACATTGTTATCGATGTCGACGTGTCAGTGTCGCGTCTTCGTTTCATCGTAGGTATAACTTGTTGTGGAATCTTTGATCACGTGAATACATTTCAATATCATGGTATACTTATCAAAAAGGAAAAAGCCAAAACATAGTACTAATATAGATCAAATGAAATGAACCTAACCTGGTATCCGTCAAAATCGCAATAAAAAGGGCAGACAGCATTCTTAACATCAGCATTGTCACTATAAGCACCTCTATAACTATCTGCAAATTGAAATGCATTAACAGCATTTCTAAGTAATGTCTCTGAATAACCGGGATCTGATGAACGGAACGCCATGGAAGCAGCCGCAAGCGCAGCAGCGGTTTCTCCAGCGACATCAGAAGCTGGATTAGGTGCATCAACAGCATACACACTCCTGCTAGTGTCCATGTCCTCTGGCCTCTCCCAACAGAGGTGGTCTGAATTTGGATCACCCACCTAATAGTAAAATCAACATCGTCAATTCACACCGGATCAGAGTCGCAACACATATACCGATCAAAATCACGAAAACCATATAGCACACTTTATTTAAATCTGAATACAAATTTGTCTATAAACAAAATAAAAAATTAATCTAAATTTTTTTAATAAATAAACCTAAAGTTTTAATTATTAATTTAATTAATTTAATAAAAATGGAAGGTGAATAACACTAGTCTGTTTGGTGCGTGGGTGATGAAAAGGGTAAAGAAACGAAAATTTACATTTATTTAAAATAACAGTTGCAAAGCCGATGAAAATCACGGACTTCAAGATAGAAAGTGGTCCATTCAACATTAATTTTATTAAAAAAAAAAATGAATTAATATAAAAACAAGAAATAATTTATTTATAGAATATAAAAGTTTGTAGCAATGAAAAGTGTAACCGTCCGTGACTGTGAGAGTAACCGTACCTGAACGAAAATGCGGTTAGGCTGAGAAACCGTCTTAAGCAAATAATCAGTACTCCAACGAATTGCGACTAAGGCGTTTCTGAGTTCATTCGGAGGCATGTTATCTCCGAATTCAATCACACTCCAGGATAACATTGTAGTTGTAAACGCCATAGGAAAATTGAATTTGATGTTATCGCCGGCGTCGTAGTAGCCGCCGGTGAGATCAACGTTGTAAGTCCATCCGTCACCGAGACCGGAGTTAGCGCGCCATTTTTGTCTCTGGTCGTAAGGCAAGAATCCTGATCGCTGGCCTTCGAAGAAGAGGATTGATTTTGATAATGCGTCAGTGTAATCATGTGCGGTGGTGGTTGTTGGTAGAATAAGCAGAAGAAGAATGAAGAGGCTGAGAAATGCCATATTTGTATTGGAATGGTTGTGAATTGTGATGAATGAATGAATGAATATAATGTGGCGTTGGTGAGTGGGTGTTGTTATTTATAAATGATAATGCAGTGTGTCACGAGGTGAGACTCGAAAGTGAAGTTGTTTGATTTAATACAGAAACACAGTAACAATAGCAGTAACAGAGTGAAATGGAACAGTAAAAAAAAAAAAAGAAAAGAAAAGGGATATGGAGGGGTGTGTGTGAGAGAATTGTGAAAGCGCCGACAAGTAAACGAGGAGTGTGTCAGCTAGATCACATGCCAACAGAAGAAGAGAGAGAGAGAGAAAGAGAGCAACACAATAGTAGATGAGAGCATGACATAAAATAAGGGTGAGGTGGTGTGGTAATGGTGTGGGTCTTGATAAGTGATACTTTTACTTCGAGTGGGACCCTTGTTAATACAAAATTTGTTTCGTCTTTTTTATTTTTTATTTTTATATGAAAATAAATAAATTTATTATCTTAAAGTTATAATTGAGGAATAAGATTTCTAGGAATATTATTGTTATAAATGCATTTGATAAATTAATAAGGATTAATATACGTTATACCCCTGTTATTTGGGACGAATTTGAAAAAGAATTTAAAGAGATATATATAGATTTCATTCTTGTTATTTGAAGATTATCTTCTTTTGATCTTTAATTGAATTTGGTCAACTTAAATGTTTAGTTGAACATGACAATGTAACTTTTTTGTTTTGTTATAGTCTACGTGGATTATACACGTTTCTGAATCATGTGTTTCGTAGATAGGGTTCAGTATTCTTCCTTTTTCAAATTTTGTTTGCAGCTAGGGTTTAGAACTCTCCGTCTCAAATCGTACCTCTATTCAGTGAATTCAGGTCGTATCTTCATCAAAACAAGACGATGAGTGGAAGCGTGAGTTCAGGCTACATGTCCAGTGCGAAAAAAGCACCAGTTTGTGGGCCCGAGCTTCCCATGAGAATCCATGTTTCGAAATCAAGCTCATATCCATGAAGAAGATATTGGAAGTGCAAATTTTGTGGGGTTTGAAAAAAAATTTCACTTCTTTTGTTCTTATTTATTTGCGTCTTCAATTGTTTGTTGGGTTCCATCTCCTTTTTTTTTTCCAGAATGTTGATGATTATCATCTATTTCATTGTGATGATGAACTATTTCAAGGAAAACAAGCTGAACCTAGATTCAACGGAGGTTGCTCTGAATGTGTAAACATGAAAGTGAATATAAAGAAATATATAGGCGACTTTGGGAAAGAGTTTGGTCATGAGTTTGGGAAGGCATTCAAGAACAATAAAATCGAGAAACTAAAGTTGAAGGCTGCAAAAGATCACACCATTCAGACACTTACTTTCGTTCTTGTTGCATCTTGGTTGTTTTTTGTTATAGTGTTTTGTAATATATAGAATGTAAGTAGGTAGAATGTAAGTATGCAGAAAGTTTGGTTCAATACCAGTTTGCAAAATGTTTGGTTCAATCCATTGTAATTTATGACTGTTAAATGAAATGATTTGGTTTGAATATTAATTCAATACAAGTTTTCAATACCAATTAAAGAAGTACTTTAATATGCACACTAATACCAATTTAATATGCACTCTAATAGAATGTTTGGAATGTTCAATATGCACTCTAATACTAGTTCAATACACACTCTAATATGCACACTAATACTAGTTCAATACGCACTCTTATAAAATGTTTGGAATATTCAACATGCACTATAATATGCAATTTGTCCAGTAGTTCAATATGCACTCTAATATGCAGTCTGTCCATAACTGTTTCTATTGATGCATTAAATTCATCGTGAAAATAGTCAACTGGTTGCTCAACCACTGCAGGATCATCAATTTGAGGCTCATCCACTGCAGGCTCAATTGGAGGCTCACCAACTGCAGGCTCATCAACTTAAGGCTCATCAACTGCATGCTTATCCACTTTTTCACTTTTTCTAGGTGTTTTTCTCTAAGACAAACATGACAAGCAAACATTAAAAATAAATATCATAAAAGACAAACATGATCTAAAAGACAAATAAAGAAAGAGACAAACCTTCCTCTTCAATGCATCAGGGTTTTGTTTTGTGCTCTGACATTTTCTTGAGTTATGACCAATCTTGTCACACCTAGTGCACCTGTAACTAACTGGTCCGCTATCACGCACGGATCAAAAACGAGTATTTTGAAAAAGTATAGTTACGGTAACGACAACTCGAGTATCGTATCGCAAGGATTCTTTATTTTATTAACCAACACAGTAAAGATTATGGGGGGTTGTTTTGGTGAAAAATTCAATTAAGAAAAACATAGTAAATAAGTGATTATCGAAATAAATGATTATAACAAGTTAATCTAACGGTTCGACTACCAACTTATCATTGGTCATTATAATTCAAATTCCCTGAGAAGATTCGATCCTATTCGATTATGATATCAATTAGACAAGCACTTATCAAAATCAAATGAGTTATGTTTCTGTTTACCGAATTAAGCAAACGGTTAAGAATATGACGAGTTAACGGATTAAGCAAACGATAACACGCAATTAAATTTAGGAACATGCATACAATCGAATTTAATCAATTATATCCTATGAACAACAATCAAATTAAGAAAACAATTGCAATCAAATTAAGCAAATGACTTCATAGAAAAGGATTGAAAAGAATTGAATTTAAATTGGTATTATAATAATCTCAAAACGATGGAACCGTACACATCAGGATTTGCCCGTAGGAATTAGTTCTTCATTACAATTGTAAAAAGCAAAGTAAAATTATGAAAATAAGGTAAAAGTGATAGTAGCATGGCTCCTAGGTATATGAAAGCATCAATGCTTCTGGTTTTAACCCAACTGGGTCGAAAAACATAAAAAAAAAAACCCAGTCCAAAACTAAATATTTCAAACGATAGATTTCAGATCCTGACTTCAACGAATTATTTTGACATGCTGCACTCTGAATCAGCTTCTTCCTCAAACATAAAAGTTGTAGCTCTCGGTCTTAGCTTTCTAACACCTATTAGAATGCACAAATCTAACTCTCACAGCTCCGGTTATGATCCAAATAGTGGACAAATATCAAATAACCGCTAAAGCTGAAAATAAGCTGCGAAAATAGATTAAAGGCAAAAAAAGGCTAAATTTTAAAAACACAACAAAATTGTAAAATAAACAAAACAAACTAGAGAAATGCCTAAGTACAAACATAAGAGAGTGTGCATTGAAATGCATTGATCACTAATGTAACACCCCCTTTCTATACCCCCAAATAATCAATTAAAATCATATAAGCAACTAATAAAAGTTTCATCAGAGCATAAATTAAAACATGATATAAAAGAGGTGCATCACATTATCATCGAAACGAAACATAAATAATACCAGCTCATAAAGATATGTAACAAAAGGGGTAAATCTCAACTAAAAACAAAGCATAGCGCTTAAAACCCACATATCAATATTTAGAATAAAGCGGAAACATCTAAGTAGTGAAATCACTTCATTAACATAAGCATCATATACATCACTCAGATTAATTCAATTCATCAGTTGAGTTTACAAAACATTCAGCAGCAGATACATACACAGATGTATCACAAAAGAATCAAAACAAATCCTAACTACCCAGTGTTACATATCAGAGCCATCTGACCAAAAGAAATGAAGACTCGCTTCACAAAAGACCTCCAGCGTCCTACTCTGCAATGCCTCATAGAGCATTATAAAACAGCAGAAGGGTGAGAAACATTATCATAACAAACAATGCATAAAATTATATATATCATAAACACAATTATAACATACATGTAATTCACATTTCTCACCACAACTTGTCACAATACATCACAATGTACCCACACATAATCAAGCACATTCACCAATTCATGCTTCACAAATCATAGCATTTCACTCAAACATTTACAAGTACGTTCATTTCACCAAAACATCATATAAAGATGATAATGCAACTCATAGAGACCGACTCACGACTCTATGCAGATGCAAATGCGGTACCGACTCGTTCACCAGGTTCAATTGAAGAACCAAAATGGAACCATCGCTCGTTACCGAAGTAACTCCCCATCGGGCCTACGATGTTCACCCATCGCTCACACCCCACACGGGCACACGATGTTTCAGGATTGCTCACACCCCACACGGGCACACCCCCACAAATAAACCATCGCTCACACCCCCACAAGGGCACACGATCGTTTCTGCAGATCCTCCTAGGGATCAAAGTAACTAAACCATCGCTCACACCCCACAAGGGCACACGAGGTTTCTGCAGATCTTACGCGGGATCAGACATACAAGAATGCAATAATGATGCTACACATGCAACACAACTCAATACACTCTTAGAATCCACACATGTTTACAAACATATTCATGCATCCTTCATATTATACAAGTATATACAAATATACGCATTCACATTAATATCACCATGCATTCCCATTTAATCCAAACAAATGCACGAAATTGCCAAACGACCACATCACACAATCTAGGATTCACGCCATACGGCTACCCACAACACAATATAACTCGGCATGATCGATGCCTCGAGCAAGGAAATAATCAAAGTCAAGTCGGAAATCCGACCCCGGATGGAAACATTAAAGAAAACACAACCTGTCACGTTCGCTACCCTACTCGCTTAGCGAGCTCCTAGCGAGTATTCGCTACTTGTTCGCCTAGCAAACAAGCTCGCGAAGGCAAACAAAAGTCTCTGACTTCGTTCGCTACCTCGCTCGCTCAGCGAACCCCTAGCGAACCTTCGCTACTCCCATTCACTACCAGTGAACACCACAACATGCATTTTGTCCAAGTCTGGGACCGTTCGCTACCTATTCGCTACTGCTCGCCTAGCGAACGTTCGCGACCAGCTCGCCTAGCGAACATGCTAGCGAGTGTCTGCGAACTCGAAATTCCCCCACTGTTCTTCCACTCCAAAACTCTTGGATTCACCCGATTAAGTCCCA